TACAGGCTTGTGGTTGAGAGGGCAGGGTAGGTACGGGAGAGAAGGATTAGGAGTTTGGCATTAGCAGAGACAAATTTACATGTAGGACGGATAAACAATAAGGTTGTACTGTATAGCACAGGAGACTATCTGTGACAAACCATAATGAAAAAGAATGAATATAACAGTCACTGCTTATGCTGCTGCTAAATTGCTTCAGTCATGTCCGACTCTGCGACCCCACAGATGGCAGCCCACCAGGCTCCCCCGTCCCTGGGATTCTCCAGGCAAGAATACTGGAGTGGGTTGCCATTTCCTTCATCAGTCACTGCTTATAGCAGGAATTAAATAACAGGAATATTATAAATCAACTATACTTCAGTAAAACTTAAAAACTCCAGATGAGTAAAAATGTGGTACACAAACACAATGGAATACTTCTTAGTCAAAAAAAAGACCAAACAATGAAAATTTGCCTTTTTAGCAACATGTATGGACTTAGCATTATGCTAAGTGAAATGAGTCAGAGAAAAATAAATACAATATCACTTACAAGTGCAATCTAAAAAAATTACAATAAACTAGTGAATATAACAAAAAAGTAGACTCCCAGTATGCTGGACAAACTAGTGGTTACCAGTCGGGAACGGGGGTTGGGGGGGACATGAGGGTGGGGGAATGGGAGGTACAAACTATTAGGTGTATTGTACAACATGAGGAATACAGCCAATATTTTGTAATAACTGGAAATGGAGAGTCGCTTTTTAAAATTATATAGAAAAAATGTTGGGAAACAAAAAAGTGAGAAATATCAGATACAAGTCAAGCCTCAGTAAAAGCAACCAGACCTCAAAAGAAAAAGACTCAGTCAACCGTTAACACACACTCTATTACAAATAATAATTAGAAACCCCAAGGAAAACTACTGTACGGGGTCTAGGAGTAGGGGCCTTAAATCTTTTCCCAAAACTCCAAGTTAAGTGCTGCAAGTGATCCGGGCTCACTTGCTGGGCAGGCAAGCAGTGCCTGAGGCTGCTGTTACTTGCCATTATGTGAACTAAACAAAGGCCTTACGTGAGTGAGTGCTCAGATCATTCTTGCAAAATGAAGCCTCTACAGGAATATCTGGGCTAGAAAGCAAAGAGGGAAACAGGAATACAAGTTGTAGAAATACCCTCAAGAAAACTAAAAGCTGCTACCCTGCCTCTCTGAACAAACCACAGCTTGGGTTACTTTGCCTGAGCGAAGAGCCCCTGACCCTGTGACTACTGCCGCCCCGTACCTGAGGCTTACAGTGCTCCTCAATCCAGCTGAAGACACAGGCCGACAGCTCCTGGAAGCTGGCCACAGAGATGGAGGCATTGAAGGACTGGAAGAGGGAGTCCATGATGCCTTGAAACACGTTGAACTTGACCTGGTCTGAGACTTGGTCCTCCCCCTCATGGGGGTTGTCCTGGTGCGCCTTCACGATCTGCTCATAGTTCCTGAAAGTGAGCAGGCCAGGCCTGAGGGGCTGCAGCGGCTCTCCTGGCCCCGGAAGAGTAATAGCGCTTACCCTCCAAACTCTCCTGGGAAGGAGATTCCCAGAGAGCTTGTGGGATGTATTCAACATCAGCTTCTAGGTCGGCAGTGGTGGCCTACCCCCTCCAACCTTTCCTTCATTAAATCCCACAGGTGTTTCCAGAGTACTGTTTGCTACAGTTGGGATTAAGTCGTGCCTACCACTTGAGGGAGTAAGAATATCATCTGATGTGGCCTTCAAAGAAGGGCAGGGTGTGAACTGAAGAGGCCTCAGAGCCCCCTCAGAACCAGGTGCCCTGGTTCCCCCAACCCAACACCGCCCTTACACTTTCATGATCTTGAGGGCCATGACATCCTTGCGGAGCGTGGATACCTCCTCCTCCTGCTTTTTCTTCTCCTTGTGCAAAAACTGGATGTAGTCAATGGCTGGAGCGGGGGTGGGAAAAGGCGGTGGGCATAGAGGACGTCTCAACCAGAAGGACAAAACTGATTTTGACTCCCCTTCCCCCCAGACCCCCACCTCGTTACAACCATCCCACCCGGGCCGGGCCAAAAGCGGCTCTGCGGCCTAGCCTCTCACAGCCCCCTTGGCGCCAAGCCCTCCAACACTCCCCTGGCCATACTCTTCTGCAGCACGATGGCTTTGCTGAGCTTTTGGGAGCCAATGGCGAAGTCCTGCTGCTGGCATGTGGGGACGATGGTCTGTAGGTCGTCATAGCCTCTCTGTGGAGAGAGCAGGGGAAACCGCTTCCTTTACGGAGAGGGCAAGACAAATGGGCACGCAGCTTTTCTTCCACGATACCAAGTTCCACGCTCGCTCACTCAGAGGGGTAGAAAGGAGGAAGAAGTTCATGTCCAGGGCCTAGACTAGCTGCCCCCAAGCTTGCTTGGGACTGCCTGACGGGGCCAGGGCAGAGTGGATCTGAAGCGTGCAGGCGCTCCCCGAGGTGCGGGCCTCCCCAATCACCTTAATGGCGTCCCTCCTCTTCTGCTCGGCCTGAGTGTGTGCTCGCCGCCGCCGGTCCTTGTAGGACTCCTTGTAGGATTCCTGGTGGTAATCGCTGTCCTCGTCATCTACGCTCAGGGTTGGGGGCAGGAAGAGGTCATTCTGGGGCCCCCTGGGGCCCAGCCAGCCCACTTTCCCCAGCTGGGAAGAACCTGGTGCCCAGAGATGGCGGATGGATACGAGAACCTAATACCCTGGATGACGTGATGGTGAAACCGTGTCTAGAACTCGGGTTTCAGCGCCCCCATGTGGAAGGCAGGAGCAGCCCTGTCTAAGAAACAGACTAAAGTAAGGCACATCTGGCTCCCCGAGTGGGGGATGTGGCCGCCTACCTGTGTTGGGGACTGAAGAGGCACTGGTGGAACCGATGCTATTAGCTCTGGACACTACACTCCCCTTGCGGGTGCTTTCTACAAAAAGCCCTGGAAAAGAGAGGCCCCAGTCACTAAGGAATAGAATGGGGGGAGGGGCTCTGCTAGGCTCTCAAGACACCTGTGGGCCCACTGGCTTCCTGAGCCCTAAATGCTGACCTCTCTCCTTCAACCCAAAAGCCAGCCATACTGGGCCACCCACTTCCTGTCGTGCCACGCGCAGTGCTCCCGTCCCTAGTGTCTACACTGCTCCATAGGCCTGCAAGGATACCTCCTGGCTCACAAAGTGGCATCGGGGCGTGATGATGGGGAGTGACCGGCTGGCCTCGTTTCCATCACTTCCCTGCTCCAGGGCAGAGGGAACTAGGTGTCACCCTTGGATGCTTCCTGCCCCTGTCCTCCAGACCCTCCCTCGCTGCTCAGGCCCGCTCAGCTCAGGGACGGTGGGCTGTGCTCAGGTGTGGCTGCCAAGGCCTCGCGAATCCATCGGGCTGAAGTGGCAGTGTCCCTCCAGAGATGAAGAGGGTGGGGGAGGCACTCACCAGGGTCCAGACTGTTGTCGCTGTAGGCATACTCCACCTGCGGCACCGAGCGAGGGAGAAGCCCGTCAGGCCTCCTCCGCCCCTGCACGCGTGTACACACACACAGACACACATACATCCACACTTGGGGTGCGATGGCAGTCGCAGGATTCCCCCCAAGCCAAGGGCGGCTAGGCCACGAGAGCACCGCCCCTCGGCAGGACCCCGTCCGCCCACTCCACGCCCCCAGCCCCCCAGCCCCGTCCCCTCACACCCGCGCGCACACAGTTGTCTTCCCACCTTGGCACACACAGGGTGAGAGCTGTCTTCTCTGCAGCCCCAGGGCCCGAGGAGCGGGGGTAGCTCTGGGGACTGCAGGGAGTCCCCTAGTCTTCCAGAACCCCTACGTGCTCGAGCCCGACCCACCCTCCCCTCGCCGGCGTGCGCGCCCACGGGGCTTGCCTTGACCCAGGGGTCCTCCGGAGAGGCGCCCGGCTCCGTCATCTCCGACCCACCGAACCGGAAACCTGCCAGCGGGCGGGCCCCCGGCCTGGAGGAAGAGGCGAGGCGCGCTCACGTGACCCAAACCCACCAACCCGCAGCCCAGTGGCGGGGGCGGGGCAGCTGCGCATGCGTGATACGGAGGACAACCCCCACGCCCGGTCTCCGCTGCCGCCTAGACGGTGACCCGCCTGCAGTCGGAGCTGACACTGATGGCCTTGTGGCCACCCTCCTCGCCAGTCCCTGCTCTTGCTCAGGGTAGATGTTCCAGCCGCCGCGACATGAAGCACATTCCGTGAAACTGGGTCCCTTTAAGAGGCTTGTCCGGATAATCTCGCAGCGCAGGCGCACCGCCGTGCCCAGCGGGCTCCCGGGACCGGGAGGAGTTTCCCGGACCTGCACTTCTGGCCACCTCTTCCAACCCCGCCGGGATGCAACCTTTGTGAGGCCAGAGGCCCGAGTGGCTTGTTGACGGAAGCTCCTCCAACACCCAGCCCAGAGTCTGGCAGGATACTTGTGGAATTAAGAGCGAGCCTGTTAGCCAAGTTACGCTACTTTGTAAGCTAAGGAAACAGGTGCCAGGAAAGTCCAGAACTTATTCAGAAGTGCACAGCTAGCCAGTATACAGGGCCAATGCTGGCCTCAGTCTGGTTAGCTTTAGAAGCCACGCTCTTAACCACTGCACTTCTGGCTTCCAGCTCAGGACTGGGCCTTGCACTTGAGACTCAAGGGTCACAAAGATACCCAGAGTCATTGAAGCAGGAAGCAGACACCATGGCAACATTCACCTTTAATGCTGTTACAAGTTCCAGTGTTTGCCCTGGCCCCAGACCAGCATGGGTACCAAAGACCTGTGGACAAAAGCAGGGACAGAACAACGCCAGGGGCTTGCACCCGCACGAGCTGCATCCTCAGTGTTGGCCGAACACTGGCAAGCTGGGTAGGCTCCCTGTGTCCAGCGGGCCCAGCCCTGCCCTGCCCAGCTTAGCTTAGAGCCCTGTAGGCCCAGGCTAGAGTGAGCTTCAAGGTTCCATTCCTCCTCACCGCTGGATCCCTTGTCAGCTCCAGGGGCCACTTTGACCCCACAGAGAAATCTGTCAGTCATTGGCCTGATGGTGCCTCAGAGATGCGCTTCTGCAGGAGGGCCCAGGCTTTCTCCACCTTGGGACAGGCCAGAATGTCAGGAAGAAAACAGGGACAGGGTCAGACAGGTATTCACTGAGACTCCCTCCCCACAACCCAGCCTTTCCCTGGGCACCAACCTGGCGCTGGGTGATATGCGGCTCCCACATGGTGCTCAGCACCACGTGACTCTGATCCACAAGCTGCTGCCCACTCATCTGGCTCTGCAGCCTGCTCTGAGCCGCAGCCTCACTCAGGCCATCCCTCTCCACGATGCGTCGTATGGCCTGGGCAGACAGGGCATTTGTCAGCCCACTGGTTCTGGGCAGGAACCGGGCTACAATGATGGAGGGGGGGGTGGGATCCAGATACCTCGGTCTCAGGGATGACAACCGTCCACACCTCATGCACCATGTTCTGCCAGCCGGCTTCAAGCAGCATGGCGGCATCAATCACGCACACACGCTTTCCTGTGGGGAGACCCCAGTCACTGCCAGCAGCACCCCACCACTTGCTACCAGTCATAGAACCAAGGAAACGTAGTCCCAGGGAAAGTGGATGGTCTGGTTTGGGGTGGGGGAGCTCTGGGGGGAGAATCTGTGCCACGTGTTTCCCTGGGCTGCTCACTCACCCTCAGCCATAGCCTGATCCATCTCCTCTCTGGCCAGCTTTGCGATAACTGGCCACATAATATCCGTGAGTATCTTCAGCTGCTTCTAAGGAAGGGAATGCAAGGGGTGGGCCAAGTTCACCTTCCCCCAGAGATGGAGCCAGCCCGAGGGAGCAGGTGGTGGGGAACAGGTCGTGGAGACTAGCATTTGGGGCCAGAACAGAGAGGTACCATCGGTCCCCACCTCCGGGTCTGGCAGCAGCTGCAGAGCCCTTGGAGAGGTGTGTATTTACCTTGTTCCCAAACACCCGGCTGCCCAGGACCTTCCTGTTGATAATGCCATCTTTATGGAGAATATCTGGACGACAGAGATGGAGGACTGGGCAAGGAGGCCAGGCCACCTCCTTGCTTCAGGCCACCTCCAGTCCTCCCCACTTATTACCTGTTCCAAAGGCTTCCACCACCGGCTGGTAGGCAGGACCGCCCGGGGCATAGGCCCGGTGACCCAGGTGGTCACTGTCGATGATATATGCTCCCAGGCCCTTCAGCCGCTGAGCTACTGAGCTCTTCCCAGAGCCGCTGATGCCCGTCAGCCCAATCACGTAGAAACCTGGGGGAAGCTCTGGCCTCTTCTACGGGTACATAAGAGAGAACCCCACAGTTACTAGGGTCCCCGGACTCAGGATGGAGGCTGAACCGTTCAGTCTTTCCTCTCCAGCAATCCCAGCCCACCCACATGTGGGTGGGGGCTTACATATGGAGGCCGGAGCAGGTTTCCCAGCATTTGTTGGCGGAAGCTGGAGGAGCTGACTTTGTCCTCCTCGTTTTCCTTGTGGTTCAGGTCCTTCAGCAGCTGGATCTGGTACAAGGTGAGCTCCTCCAGGTCCTGAAGCAAAGGAAGAGTGAGGAGAGAGGAGGAGGGGTGAGATGGACAAGGACAAGTCTATCACCTTATCCTCCCCTGCCTACCCCAGAGGGGGAGCTTGCCTCAGAGGGCAAGCTGGGAACCAGTTCCTCCTTGCCTCTTCCCACCACCTTCAGCCCTCTCTTCCCTCCTGTGGGGTCACGGTACTTCCAACAGCCCCCAGTGGCCTTCCCCATCCCCCTCCACTCCCTCTGCCCGTCGCCCCCAGGGGTTACATTCTCAAGGCGGAAGCGGTTGACGGCCATCCCCCCACGATAGGTCTCCTCGCTGACCACCAGGAACTCCAGAGAGGGGTCAGAGCCAGCGGGCCCATAGGGGTCGAGCAGGGGGATGATATCAAATGTCAAGGAGGGCTTGATGTCCACCAGGAACTCACTCAGATGTTCCACGCGTTCTGTGTAGGGCTGGAGCAGCTCAGGGAGCAACTTGCCTGGGGACGGAGCCCAGAAGAACAGTGAGATCTTCTTACTGGGGAGGATGAGGGGGGGCCAGTTTGGGGAAGAGTGTCCCTAAGCATCCTATCTCCAGAAGGGAGGTGGAGGCAGGACGAAGGGGCCTATGAGGAGGAGGCAGCAGGCAAGCACAGTACTGCTGCAAGGGCTGGCACATGTGCAGAGAACTGGCAGTGCCAGGAGGTCAGATTAAGAATTCCAAGAGCCAGAGAATTTCAAGATCCTCCTCTTACTGCCCTTGGCACTGCTACCTATAACTTACTCATCCATTTATTCCCAGGGGCTCAGACTTTAGGATTCATCACCTGGAGAACTTGTTTAAAAGTGCAGATTCTTTGGCTCCACTTCTGGGGGATCCTGATTGGTGACTAGACCACACACCAAAAAATCTGCATTTATTCATTTAACATATTCCCTCAGTGCGAACTGAACCCCAGGCACTGTGACATTTAGGAGGGGTGGGAAGTAACGGATGGTCCCATCCTTCCTCAGTCTTGTCCTGCCAGGGGAGGGTAAGGCTGCCCCAATCCAGAGTCTCTTGTCACTCACTCTTCAGCAGGTCTTTGTCTGCTACTCCCACCACAAGCTGCTCCTGAGCCAGGATGCACGCCACACTGAGCAACACCTTGTGGGCATTGTGCAGGCGGTCAAAGGTGCCGCCCACAGCCCCCCGCTGGTGGCCGCGCACTGGTTGCTTTGCAGACCTGGCCACAGGGGAGGTTGGCCTGATGGTGGAGGGTAAGTGGACGCCCAGGGACTCCACGGGGGGCGCTGAAGGCCCATAATCTGGGTACAGCAACACTGAAGACAGTTGCGGACAACAGCTGTAACAGCTGGTAGCATAACGCTCTAGCTGTTGCTTGGCCGGATTGTATTGGCTTCCATCCAGGGTCTGGAAGTCAGTCAGGACCACTTCCGGGGGGTGGGCCAGGTTCTGGACTGAGGTGGGGAGGGGAGGGAGACAGCTCTTGGTTCGAATATTTGTCAGCAGAATTCTGACGTCCAGGTGCCTGTGGACATCGGCTCCTGCGTAGAGGTGCGTGATGAAATCGATAACTTCAAACGTGGCCTGCACGGGGCTGGACTGGGGTTGAGCCGGGCCGCCCAGGCTCATGCCCGGCTGCAGGTGTACATAGAGCGTGTGATTCACCAGCCGGGCTGCCGAGGACAGGATAGGGGCCAGGCGAGGGGCCAGGGAGGTCAGCGGCGTTGTCAGCACCAGGAGGCCCGACCGGAATACGGCCATCCTGCCCAGGCCTGCGGACAGTCAGGGAGACGAGGCGAGGGTGACTGGGTGGTATGTGTCTGAGGCCGAAAACTGTGGGGGGACCCGGACCCAAGAGAGGGGGACCTGGAACAGGGACGGGGTTCTCAGTGCCGACCGAGAGGAACCTGGGGAAGGGGACTGGGCTTGGAAAATGGCGCCTCCGGGCTGTGTTCTAAATCTGTTTTATCATGTCTCAGAGCGGTGAATTCGCTGAATTGTCAAAATCCTGGGGTGGGGAGAGGAACTGGGCAGGAGCCCCTGCGTCGTAAGACTGGGAATCCAGAAATCCCGGGCGTTCTTGCTGAGCTGCACCAGCATCTTCAAGGAATTGGAGGAGGGAACTAAAAGGGGACACTCAGGCTCGGGTCCTACTTACTGAGACCTCCGGGCTTTGGTTCCGCTTGCACTACCGCGGAGGCTTCCCCAGCCGCGACCCGTTAACACAAGTTCCGGGGCTGTGACTCGAAACTACGGAACCTAAGAAAGGCCAAAAATCTCAGTTTTGGTTTGGCGAGGGATTCTCGCGAGATTTTTCATTTGAAGGCGGGGGGTGGGCGGTGGCGCTTGCTCTTGCAAAGGGGCGGAGCTCTGAGACGTGGGAGGTGCGTGAAAACTTGTTTCCAAAACCTACCCTCACGGAAACTGGGCGGAGTGGGGCGAGGCGGCTGGAGAAGGAAACAGCAACCCACTCTAGTATTCTTTCCTGGAAAATCCCATGGACAGAGGAGCCTGCCGGGCTACACTCCATGGGGTCGCAAAGAGTCGGACACAACTGAAGAGACTTAGCACGCACGCAGGGCAAGGCGGGCTTGAAAGCCTATTTAACGGATGCCCTTCAGACTCAGAGAAGAGACTGGCTTCAGCCAGGTCACTCGGGAGACAGCGGCAAAGGCGGGACTAACACCTGGCTTTCCTGCTTAATAAATCGCGGGGACAGAGGTGGAGGGAGGTGTCATAGGGTAGCATTCAAGTTAGGGCTCGGCGTCCTGACGCCCTCCCAGTCTAAGGATCCTCATGTGGGAGGTCACGGAACAGTTCTGTCCCAAGTCCCCATTTCACAGATGGAAACATTGAGGCCCTGTATGTTCCAGGGACATCTAGGGAGGTAAGGACAGAGGCCATGTGTCGTGGCTCCCGTGCAGTGCTCTCCACAACACCTAGAACCAATGATATGACGGTTTTCCTGAGAGAGGCGGAAGAAGAGGAGAACTGTGCGTGTGAGCTCAGTAGAGCTGCCAGAGAATGGTACCTGTGGGCGGAAGAAAAGGCAGCGGGGCTGGGGGAGGAGACTCTGTGGTGAGAATTTACCATGAGGCTAAAGAGTGCTGGTCTGGAGAAGGAAATGGCCACCCACTCCAGTGTTCTTGCCTGGAGAATTCCTTGGACAGAGGAGCCTGGTGGGCCACAGTCCATCGGGTCGCAAAGAGTTGGACACGACTAAAGCGACTTAGCATGCAAAGAGTGCTGGAGAGGCTGGAATTGGTAGTCTCCGTGGGAAGACAAAGCCAGGTTGCCATTAGGAACATTTCAGGTAAATTGTCCAGGGCGATCTCAAAACGGAGGGAAACCAATTTCCAAGGTCCACTATAGTAATGTGCTGTGGTTTCTGTTCCAATACTAAATAAATGCTCACTTGCACACTTAATTTTGTGGTTTTTTTATAAAGAGGTCTCCCAGAGTGTATAAGCTTCGGGCTTCACAGAACCTGGATCTGGTCCTGACGTCAATGGTGGAAGAGATTTAGTGCCACAAAGGCCTTGAGACCAGTCTTCTTGCAGAGACATATTAAGTTGGGTTTTAAAGAGAGGACCCAGGACTTCCCTGGCAGTTCAGTGGTTAAGAATCTGCCTGCAAATGCAGGGGACTGGGTTTGATCACTGGTCCGGGAAGACTCCACATGCCACACAACTACTGAGCCCTTGAACCTAGAGCCCTTGTTCTGCAACAAGACACCGCAATGAGAAGCCCTTGCACCGTAACTCGAGAGTAGCCCCGACTCACCACAACTAGAAAAAGCCCTCACAGCAATGAAGACCCAGTGCAGCCAGAAATAAACTTTAAAAAAGAGAGAGAAGACCCAGTTGAGGAAGCAAACTACAAAGACGGAGGCAATTCCCTGAAACATCTGGACACACTGTTTCACATGCTTACAGAGTCATTGGTGGAGGAGCTCTCTGGAGGACGTGACTGCCAATCGACCCTTGAGCTGGACTTGGGCAGTCAGAGGCAGCTCACCCCTCCCATGTCCTTGGAAGTAGTCTGCCTATGATTCCTCCAGTGGGACCTATTTCAAGCATGCAGCCTCTCAAGGGCAACATGCTGATGAGACCACCTGGATGGTTTAGGGGACTGAACCCAGGTAAGGTCTCTATAGAAACTTGGAGATTCTGGTGGGCAGGTGCAAAGATCTACTCTTCTTTCTCCACCACGACAAGCCTTGTATGTAAGTTCCCTTGCTTTTTTTTTTTTTTTTAAAAAAAAAAAAAGCTTTTTTGGCCACACTTCATGGCATGTAGGATTGAACTTGCACCCCCTGCACTGGCAGGCTTAGTCTAAACCACTGGATGTCTGGGAAGTTCATGTTGCTTATTAAACCTGCCACCTTCCAATCTAGAGTGGTTGCTTCTTCCATCAGTCTGGGGGTCTTTGCCCCCAGTTGACAAATCAACGTTGGTGGCAAGCTGACCAGGAGACCAAAGAAATGGACCTTGGGAAAGAGGCACCTGCATGGGGTTGGGAAATGCACGCTGGTCCATTGAGCTTGTTTGAGGAACCACGCAGGGTGAACCACTGCAAAGACGGGAGATGAATATCCTGGAGTGGGTTGGCCACTGCTGTGGGCAGATCACTGGCCACCAGTGTCCAACTAGAGGCTGAAACTCAAGCTGGAAAGTTAGAAGGAGAACTGAGGCTGGAGAAGCATGTGTGGTGCTCACTTCAGGGCTGGCAGGCAGGTGGGAGAGCAGGATGATAATTTGGAAATATTACCCTGCTGTTTGCAAAGCTAGGAGCTCATGAGCCGCCTCGAATTAAGGTCCAAGCACTTGTGACAAAGCCTGACCGGAGGCTAAGAGGTGGACTCCCTGGGAAAGTGAGTAGAGAGAAGGGGAAGGTGTTGTGGTGACTGATAGTCCAAAGACCAAACACACCTCATGCCCTAGGACCCCCTTATACAGAGGAAAACAAACCCAGCAGTGACCCCCACCCTCAGCTGGCATGTCAGCCCTTGTTCAGGAAACATTCATGATGACAGAATAAACGTCCACTGAGGTTATTGATATAGCTGCCAAATTCCAGCAAAAGGCCAGGGAAAGTATCCTAGCATGGTTAGCTATGGGATTGGGGGGAAGGGTGGGGGGACTTCCCTGGCTGGGGAGAAGGCAGAGAAACAGCAAAATCACCACACAGCCTGCCCTCCTGCAGCATCTGCATAGGACTTAAGGGAAAGGGGAACAAGGTTCTCACTTCCTCATAGACTGGATCATTCTAGCCTGCAGGAAGGCTTGTCCCAATGTGTGTGGGGGGCTCTCCTTGGGCATGTGAGACCCTGGATGTCCACAGAAGAGGGGCAGCTCCTAGATTTGAAGGGCTGATTGGGCCAAATTCACTGCAGGAATGAAAGCCAGGATCCTCCAGTCTGCCTCCATCACCGGTATACGGGATGTGACATCTGTGCTGAGCCCAGTTGTGGGACAAGAAGTTCATGATGTTGGGCAACCTGTGTTGATCTGGGAGAAGCTGACAAATCCCAGGAACGGGTATATACTGGCCTGCAGGGAAGACCCAAGACACAGAGGGAGCTCGAAAAGCCAGAATGCTATCCTTCAGGGCTGTAAAGAGTTTGGTAAAAGTAACCTGGAAGCCAATGTGGTTTGACCTCATTACTGCCAGGACTGCACAGGAAAATATAAACTGTGTTGGTTGGCCTGTGGAAAGCCTTAAAACCTGAACAATTGTTCAGACCTGCCCTACCTGCCCCTAAATCCCTACTGCCCTGACAACCCCAGCAGAGGCCTTGGAAAAACTCCTATTCAAGGTGGCTGCCTCCCACAGCCCAGGTTATAGGATGCAGGCCAAGATTGCCTCCCCGTGAGACCCATTGGAGGCAACTGGTTGGAGCTCAACACTGATTGATCTTCCAGTAATAAAAGGGGACAGCTTCAGTGGATACTGGAGCCAGTATACCCTAATTTCTTTTTCCTTGTTGGCCACGCTGCACAGTTTGTGCAATCTTAGTCTCCCAATCAGGGATTGAGCCTGGGCCATGGCAGTGAAAGCCTGAAATCCTGACCACTGGACTGCCGTGGAATTCCCCAGACATACTCTAACACATAGTCACCCTCAGAAGTTTTCCAGGCTCCCTCTGCACCACTGAATTACAGAGGGCAAATGGTTGCAATCAGGAAGGTCCTTTTCACAAAACAAATTGGGCATTCTCCCTGCCCTTGCACACACTCTGAAAATATCCAATACAAGGAACATAGTGGGCACTGGTATCCTACAAGGTCAAACTCTGCAAACCTCTGTCAGGGAATTCTGCCTCAGGGTTAAAGTAATGGAACCAGTGATGAAGCAACACCAACTGGGAACCTAGGGGAAGAATAGTAACTGTCAAGTGGGCGGGACTTAAGGAATTATACAGAAGAAACTATTCTAGAACTGCACTGCATGGGAATGGCACGCTCTGCCCTTAATGCTTTCATCAGCCTGGTACAGTTGCTAAAATGGTACAGTTGCCAAATGGCTCATGGCAGCTGACTGTGGACCATGGAGAGTTGAACAAGCCCCCATCCACGTGGCTGTGCCCAACAATGCCACCCCTGCCGTCTTAGGAACCTACCATGTAGTACTGGGCTTAGCAAATGCTCTTTTCAGTCTACACTTGGCTTCACAACTTCCCTTCATGTGGGAGGAGTGACAATGGACCTTTCAAGGGCTTCCCCATGGTCACATGCACAGCTCCTCCACATGTCGTGAGATGGGAGCCCAGGACTTGTCCGTATACTCCTCCCCCACATCAGTAAAACGGCCCATTACATTGATGATATAATGTTAACATGTTCAGATTTGCCTCTGCTTCAGGACCCTCTGCAGATGTTGCTGGAACATCAGTGAGGAGAGGATGGGTGGTGAACCCTCAGAAAATTCAAGGTCCAGGCAACCCCGTAAAGTTTTGTGTCTCAGAAGCTGTGATTGATAAGTTATAAGCCTGTCCAACCCCTAAGAACATGAAAGAGGTGCAAGCCTTTGTGGGGGATTTGGGGGTTTGGGGGGACTTTTATTCCCCACCTGGCCTGGTACCTCCATCCCTTATCCCACCTGGTAAAGAGAAAGGACACGTGGGGCTGGGGGTCAGGGCAGCAAGCCACCTTTGAGATAGCTGGAATACCAGTGAAACACATCACAGCACTGGGCCTCTCCCAGCGAGGACACCATTGGCGTTAGAGGCATCTGTGACTCCGAACACATGGCGGCAGAGACAACAGAAGGTGAGAGCACCCTAGGATTTTGGTCCCAGCTCTGGGAGGGGACAAATCCCAATACATCCCCATAGAGCCTCTTTGCAGTGTACACAGAACACCCCACCAGGTAGAGCCTTTCATGAAAAGAATAGTCTATCATGGTAAGAACTTCCCTTCTGGTCAAGAGCAGGGTTGAGACTATGTTCCATCAGCCCACCTTTGCCATGGTTCAACCCCCACATTAACTAAGTGGCCCATTTGCAACAAAAGGGTACCTTGTCTACCAGCCCACTTTCTCTAGACATTCAAGTGCTACTTGGCCCTGAAGAATGTGGAGATGCCTCTATACCTGGAGTGGCCCCTGCAGCTTGTAGAGAGGTGGGGTGGGAGCAGGGGTCCCCGCTGGTGCCTGGTATACAGATGGGTCTAACCAGGGCACCCCACCCACTTGGACTGAAGCTGCTATTCTGTCCAACAATGACATCATCTGGATGGAAACAGGAAGGAACTGCAGCAGCCAATGGGCTGAATGCAGAACAGTTGGATTGTTCTAAAGGATTAACCCCTCCGCAGCAAGAGAAGCCACTGTAATGAGAAGCCCCTGCTCACTACAAGTAGAGAAAGTCTGCACACAGCAATGAAGACCCAGCTCAACCAAAAATAAAATAATTAATTTAAAAAAAGAATTGCACTTGTGTGCACACACACACACACATGCACTTGCCTGTACAGTTGGTGAAACGTGAATAAACTCGGGCGATTATAAAAATAAATAAAAGGGTTTACCCTACGGCTTGGACAAAGGGAAGCTGAGAGATGGATAAGCCCTGGTAAGGTCAAGATGTGTGAAGACATTTGTGTTCGTCTGCAAGAACCTGAGATGGTCCTCACCATCATCCACATTCTTCTGGCTCATAAGGCGCTGACATCTCCTAGCAATCAGGAAGCTGATGCCCTGCCTGGGTACAAGCTCTAGAAACTGACCCTTCAGTAGATACAACAGATTGGGTGCATTGAAAAAGCAATCACTGAAGAGCCTGGATGGGATGGCTTATTGTCAAGAATACCCAGTTACCCTTGAAATATAGTGACGTGGTTAATGCAGTAACAGCATGACCTTTGTGTTCTAAACAGTGCTCAAAGCAACTGCCAAAGGAGTCAGGGGGCATCCATCGGAGTTCCCAACCAGTGATGGATTGGTTGTTGAAATAGCCTCTACTTGGAGTGGACCACACACCATTAAAAAAGGGAAGAAGGTGGGAATTCCCTGGGGGTCCCATGGCTAGGACTCTGCTCTTTCACTGTTGGGGGTGCAGGTTTGACCCCTGGTCAGGGAGCTAAGATCCCACAAGCCACATGGCCAAAAAAAGAGAGAAAGAGAGAGAAGATGAAGGTCTGGTCTGGCATATCCAGCACCTCCCACCATGCCCCCGTCCTCACACTTGACAGTGCTGCATCCTTGGTCAATATGTATGATATGCACAACCAGGTCAAGTACCTAAATCTGCCACCGTCTTCTCTTCAGGGCCATGTGAGCACATTCTATGTTCACTGTCACAAATCATTAGACTGCAGTCTTTGTTCCCTCCTTTGGCCTGGGGAAAGTTACAGCACACACACATGCCCTTACTGACAGCACCCAGCAAGCCTTAAATTATAACCAACAAAGCCCGTCCTGAGGTCTCTAATGAGAAAGCTGTCCTCTAAAATAGGATGCCTCTGGACATTATCGCTGCCTCGCAAGGAGGTACCTGTGTGGTTACCCAGAGGACTGTGTATTCATACCTGATAAGCCTGCAAATATATCTTCTTTATTAAGCTCCTCCTGGGGCACCCCTACTACCTTCCTCTGTCTGCAACCTCCCCATCTAATCTCGATCTCCACCCCGCCTCCAGCACCCAACCTCAGAGGAAATCAATTGTCTCTGCAAACCTGCAACCCCTTTCAGTGGCTCCTGCCACTCCAGCTCCTTTTGCTGGTTTCCAGAAGGAGGATGGACCATTGGTCTGATCAGCCAGGCCTGCAGCCTCAGCTCGACCTCCTGGTGAGAGTCAGCTTCTGTGTGGGTCGGGATCTGCTGAGGTCCAGCCCCGGCAGGACCAGGAGTACCCAAGGGATGAGTGGCATCAGCGAGGAAGGCAGACAGACAGACACACACAGAGAAGGTTGCGTAGAAGAGGTAGTTTTTTTTTTTTATTTTTACGATAGCTCAGTTTTTATAGAATGAACGTTACCTCCCCCTTAAGTCACCACTAATTACATCAGATATTGGTTTGTGCTTCCGTCAATATTTTTTTCCCATGTTTTTCCCCTATGCATTCATCTAGAACGTTTTCGATTATAGGGTTTATACTTAAATGTCCCGTACATAGTCTTCTTGCCTCAATGGCCTAACATTCTCACTCTAACAAAAACAATGTTCCACAAATCTCAGGTATAGTGTAAATTCTTTGGACAATAAAACAGTACATGGGAAGGGTCAGAGTAACATGTTTGACCTTTCTGAGAATAGTACCATGAGAAAAACCTGGTATTTTTCTTTACCTGAAACCACAAAATCTCAATTTACAATGATTAACTATTAAACAAGAAAAACACCTCTAAAGCAGCAAAACACCTCTATTAATAGTGAGGTAATGGCAGTGAAGCTGGTTAATATAAATCTCCTACTGAAATCCTATATACTCCATTTTCTAATTTTACAAAAATACCCATAATATCCCATGTTGTTTAAAGAAAGGGAAACAATGAACAAATAGCAACAAGGAAATAGCAATAATGAAAACCCTTTCAACCAAGGAACAAGTAAACTAAAGCAGTATATCTACTTCTAAATCCAAATACCTCTACTCTTTTCTATTCTAGAACATTATCATCTTTTAAGCAAGCAGCCAAACTATACCTGTGGCCTTTTCTTTTTTGACTTGATGTTTATGGTCATGTCCTGAGTCAGAGCAATCACAAGCATTTCCAAAAAGGCTTGGACTTTTCCAGTGAGGCCTTATTATTATATATTATATTTCCAAAAATTAATAGAAAGCCCGACAACAGTAAGACAGAAGACATACAGGGCCCCCAGGACAACCTCGAGGGGACGAGCTGCCTTGTAGGTTCCTTTCTCATCCCGGCAGCTCCGGAGGGGACATATTGGGCCCCAGGGGCAGCCCCATGTGAGGAAGAGCTGCCTTGCAGGTTCCTCTCTCATCCCATGACCTTGTCACGGACTGGGTGCATCCTGGCGGCTCCCGACTGGATCTCTCCTGTTGAGTGTTGTCTCGGGCAGGAGGCAAGGAGGGGGTGAGTGGGGCTGTCTCCTTTCGGCTCATTTAGGCTTGTTTCTTTACACATCTGGCTTCTACAGGGGAACACAATGACAACAGTAACACGCCTAGTAGTAACAATGTTAGTCAGTGCCTGCTATTAAGACCTCTAATACCAGCACTTCCAGGCACTATCTCAGTTCATTCTTATCACAACGCATGGTATTTGTGTGTCTACAGCGCTCAGTCGTGTCTGATTCTTTGTGATTCAGTGGATTGTAGCCCTCCAGGCTCCTCTGTCCATGCAATTCTCCGGGCAAGAATACTGGAACGGCTTGTCATTTCCTACTTCTGGAGATCTTCCTGACAGGGACCGAACCAGTGTCTCCTGCATTAGCAGGCGGATTCTTTACCACTGCGCCACCTGGGAAGCCCCCACATAGGTATCATACCCATTTTTTCAGGTAAGAAAAGAGACTCAGAGAGGGTAAGAACGTTGCCTAAGTTTCCGTGACTCTCGGGAGCCACGTCACAAGCCAACTCTCCCCCGCCAGGTCCACCTAACTCCGCTGGCTGCAAACACCCCTAGGCCAAGAATACAGGGAATGCTCCCCCTGCCCTTCGGCGAACTTGAGGCCTGACCTGGAGCTAGCTCTTTCCCTTTCTGGGCCTCGGTTTCCGGAGGTATCACTCGGGCTAACACCGTCTTTCGGGATCATCCACCCACTGTGCGCGCCGGTGGTCGCGCAGGTGCAGCCCAGTCAAAGCCCCTTTCCGTTCCCCAAACGCACCCCATCCCCCGGGGCCGCAAAGGAGAGCGCGGGAGACAGCGGCGGATTAGGCCTTTTATTGCGGGGCGAGAGGAGCGCGGAGCTCAGATGCCCCCAGTTTACCAGCTTCGGCCTCCGCCCCGGCGCCGTCGGAGCCCTCGGCGGCCTTGTCGTGGAACGCTGACTGGTGCGCAGCCGCGACGTAGCTGGAGCCGCTGGGGTCGGAGACGCGCAGCTGCACCAGCGGCAGGAACCGTTCGGTAGTGAAGTAGCGCAGGGCCGGGCGCGGGGCGCGCAGCGCCTGGAGGAAGACCTGCAGCGGCGGGAGGAGGCGCGCTGCCCGGGCTGGGCTGGGGAGCCCGGGGGCCGCCCCCGCTCCCGCAGTCCCGCTCGGCGCTCACCTCTACCACCTCCTCCGGGTCCTGACCCGCCTCGCGTATGACCCGCTCGCAGTGGCGACGGTAGCGGTAGAAGAGGTCGCGGGTCTCGGCGTCCGCGCGGTCCAGCATCCCGCCCAGGCCGCCCTCCAGCTTCTCGGGGAAGCGGGTGTGCACTGGGCCGCATTCGATGAGGCTCACGCTGCGGGCCGGAGAGCGGCGAGTGAGAGCGGGCGGATGCAAGCCCAGAAGGGAGAGCCAGAGCGGGGCTCGGGCGGCGAGCATTTGAAAGCGGGTTTACAGCTGGAAAAGCGCCCACACATCCTTTGGAGAGTGTGAGAGAGGCTCTGGCGTCAGAATGCCAACTTGGCCGGGTCACTTACAACGGTGTGACCTTGGGTCAGTCACCGAACCTCTCTGGGCCTGAGCTGCCCCATACCGACGCCTCAGCAGCAGGGTGGACAGGTGGAACGAGAGGACGCGTGCCGAGCGCCCCGTACTGTGCCGAGCGCAAACCAACGGGAGCCGCACTGGGGAGAATGCCCGAGAGCGGTTCCAACAAGATGGGGTGCTGGGGTTCCCAAAGTCAGGGGTCGGGGGCCCCCGGGGCAGGGCGGTGACTCACTGGACCCCGAAGGGCTGCAGCAGAATCGCCAGACTCTCGCATAAACCCTCGAGCGCGAACTTGCTGGCGCAGTAGACGGCGTTGAAGGGAAGCGCTGGGAGGGAGAGGAGTCCGCTGGGGCGCGTCCGGGAGGGGGTCCACGGGGAGAGGCGCCGGAGGGGCCCGAGGCAGCCTCACCAGGCCCCTCCCCTTTTATTGGACACCCTCCTCTCCACCGCTCCGGCTGAGCCACCCCCGCCTCGCGCGCCTCTGGCCCTTGGCCGCGTTCCACTCACCCATCAGGCCGCCTACGCTCCCGGTCACCAATATGCGTCCCGAGCGGCGGCGCTTCATGTCCAGCAGAAAGGCCTGCAGCATCCGCACGGTCCCCATTAGGTTCACGTCCAGCACGGCGTCCACGCTGCCCTCCTTGTGGGCCTCCAGCGGCCCCACCAAGCCCCGGCCTGCGTTACACACTGCGGGGAGAGAGACCCGACCCCACCGCCTCACGCACGGCCCTCCTTCCGGCCCGTCCCCTCGTGCTCCGTGGGCCTCGGGACATCTTGGTCTGGACACAGACTGAGGAAGGCTCTTGGGCTTGTTTTGCGGGGAGGCTCACCCAGCACGTCCACGCGGCCCTCCGTCACGCGTGCCTGGGCAGTGGCTATGGAATCTGCATCCCTCACGTCCAGCTGCAACGTCTCCAGGGAGCCGGGAGGGCACCCTCGGGACTGGGCGGCCTCCAGCAGTGGGCCCTGTGACGCCAGGTCCCTCAGCGTGGCGTACACTGGAGATTCAGGGAGAGGACAAGGCTCTGAATTTCGGTCTTTCAGCCTTACTTAGGCCCCCTTAGGCCAGGAAGGAGTTGCTCCCGTCTCTCCACCACCCCGTTCCATCAGGTACCTTTGAAGCTCTGGGACGGGTCGGATGCCAGTCGCAGGGCCAGGTGTAAGCCAATGCCGGAGGAACAGCCGGTGATGAGTACCACGGTGCGGTCCATGGGGATGTGCGCAGGGAGAGATCCCGGCAATGCTGGGTTCTGGTCTCCGAGGATGGATATTACCTGCTTCGCTCCGCCCCTGCCCTCCGAGGTCCCCACCCCTTTGTTATGTCTGCAGCACAATCTCAAGGCTGAGCCCTCCTGTGGGTCCCTGGCCTGCTCTCCCCAACCTACTCTAGGTCAAGGAAGAGAAGAGGGCCCCTGGCTTAGAAAGCCCCTTCTTTAAGTTGTTAGTCAGAGGGAGGGTGAAGTTTTGCAAACAGGAGGTATGAGCTCCCATGTGGGCGCCGAGTGCCCTGGGCAGATCTTGCCCTGGCAAGCCTCGGTACCACAGGGACAGTTTTTTGCCAAAGTTTCCGGCTGAGGTTGTGGAAGTGTTTTGGAAGGGCATTCTTGGTGGAAAGGTCAGGCGTGTAAATGTGTGCTCAGCTGCTCAGTGGTGTCTGACTCTTTGCCACCCTGTGGACTGTAGCCCATCAGGCTCCTCTGTCCATGGAATTCTCCAGGAGTGGGTTGCATTTCCTACTCCAGGGGATCTTCTTGACCCAGGGATCCAACCCATGTCTCTTGTGTCTCCTGCATTGGCAGGTGGATCCTTTACCACCGCATCACCTGGAAAGCCTCAAAGATCGGGGGTTGATACTAAATCTGAGGAAGCCTGGTGGCTGAGTCAACCAGGAAGCAGCCTGATCTGGCTTTGACTGGTGAGGGCTGTGATCCAACCTTGGAGGAGGAAGGGACTGAACAGGCACCAATGAGTGAAGATGAGCTGATCAACTTAATAGAGGGTGTTTTGAGAGACAAGAACATGACAGATACAGGAACTATGCTGAGTGGTAAAAATCACTGCCACAGAGATGATGTGGCCATGTGCTAGTTAGATGCTAATGTGACCCATTCTAATGTGATGGAAGGCTTTTGGTAATGCAGAATAACCCATTTTCAAAACAATACCAAACAGGTATTTTGGTAAAAACCTGTAGCAGTATGTTACATTAGGGTGAGAAAAGAGAAATCAAAAAGCAGAGAAAGGGGACATATTGTAGTCTCCAAGTACTGTTAAATCTCTAACTGGGCAAGGGTCTGATCAAAGAGTTCTTTTAAGAATATTGGATACTTGGAGATGACCACTCAGAAACTGGACTGGAGAATGCTGCCAGGCTCTTGATTTTAATTTAAGCTACATGTAAAGTATAACAAGCTTTTGTTAACCAGACACATTTTTTCAGTAACAGAAAGAATGGAATAAATGCCAGATATTTCCCCTGGGGATGTCCTGTCTCTTCAGGGAAATGTGGTCTGTATTCTTTAAGTTTTCCCCTGGCCTAAATTAAATGATTATTTGTTCCAGACAAAGGAATATTTATTAGACTATTTCAAAGTGACACCATCAGGGCTTCCTGGATGGCTCTGTGGTAAAGAATCCTCCTGCCAATGCAGGAGACATGGGTTCAATCCCTCATCCAGGAAGATCACACATGCCTTGGAGCAGCTAAGCCTGGGAGCCACAACTACTGAGCTCATGTGCCCTAGAATCCTGGCTCTGCAATGAGAGGTGACTACAGTGAGGAGCCTGTGCATTGGAACTGGGGAATAACCCCCACTCACCGAAACTAGAGAAAAGGTCACACAGCAATAGACCCAGCACGGCCAAAAAAGAAAAAGTCACACCATCAGAAAAATGTCAAATAGTTCAGCTACACACAGTCTCTAAGAGTCTGTATGCCCTGGCACTTTAGAAATGATATGCCACTGATATAAGGGATTCATCTTTTCAGTTTTTCAATATTTTATCAATATAAAAACTACTGCCACATCCTTTGGAATTCCCAGGTGGCTCAGTGTCTGCCAATGCAGGAGACGCAGGAGATGCATGTTGGATCCTTGGGTAGAGAAGATCCACTGGAGGAGGAAATGGCAACCCACTCCAGTATTGTTGCCTGGAGAATCCCATGGACAGAGGAGCCTGGGGGGCTATGGTCCATGGGATGGCAGATCTGGACTTGACTAAGCACGTCTGAGCACGCCATGTCCTTACACTTTCTTCTTCAACTAGGAGTGTTCTCAAATCTAAAAGTGTTCTTGGGTGGTCTTCTCTGGTGGTCCAGTGGCTAAGACTCCTGCTTCCGATGCAGGGAGCCTGGGTTCAATCCCTGGTCAGGGAACTAGATTCCACATGCCACAACTAAGAGTTTGCATGCTATGACTAAAGGCCTGAAGATCTATGAACTAAAGATTGAAGATCTTCCGTGTCACAACTAAGACTCAGCGCAGCTAAATAAATTTAAAACTTTTAAATTAAAATTTTATTTAAGTATATGTAAATTTGAGTATATTTAAATTTATTTAAATTTTAAAAGTATTCTGTTTCTCATCATTAGTAAATGTTTTAGCTTTCTAAATATTTGTATTTAACTGTTGCTCATAGGGTTTTGTTTTTGCAGTTTAGAAACTCTTAGGAATATAAAGACTATCCCTTCTGCTTGAAACAGCAGGGGTGAACACTAGCCAGACTAGCCTAAGCAAAAAATGAAAAGACTCTTCACTAAGTACAGTGATTAACCTGATATAAGTTAGATTTGGAAGGAATGTTTTAATTACCTCTTCTAGCCTGAATACATGAATTCTTTCAGATCAGGAAAGACTAGACAAAGCAGCAGCAGCTGATTATAGTTTGGTTTATGGCCTGTCAGATGTGCTGTGATAAGAAAGCTGAAATGATGGTTGAAGGGGAAAAAAAGTTGCATAAAATTAGCTGTAAGCTATATAGAGGCTTGTTTTCTGAAGTATTCTTATAAGAAAAATAAGTATTTGTAAAAATGGTTTCCGTGTCAGGTATTTGTGCAACTAGAGCTATATTCTATTCTTGTGATATTTCATTATTTTGAAAGATTTATATAATCAATTCTGGATGTTTGACCAATAAAACTAAAAACAAAGCACGGAAAAGCCAAGGCGAGAGGGCAGGGAGAACTGACCTCATCAGTGTTCATGCCACAGCCCCGAGTCCTGCCCGGCGTCATGGCATTGACATTCTTGTTTTTGTTTTGTTTTTGCTGTGCCACATGGCATGTGGGATCTTAGTTCCCTGACCAGGGATGGAACGTGCACTCCCTACAGTAGAAAAACGGAGTCTTAACCACTGGACCGCAAGGAAGTCCAGCACTGACATTCTGACACACCCATCCAAGTGATTTACTAGTTTATTAAGTTGTATTAAAACAGTACTTTGATCCCAAATTTGGGATGTGGAGGAAGGCAGCTCAGCCCCTCCAGACAGTCCGCGCCTGACCCCATGGGCGTGAATTCCTTCACTCAGGCCTGTGGCGCTCCTGTGACACCTGCCCAGCCCCAGGCCCTGGGAACCTGCTCAGGTTTGGAGTCTGGGGAGAAGGTGGCTTGAGGGTGGTGAATTTTCAGAAGGAGCCAGCCCGGGGGTAATATTTGAGGAAGAGCTTCTTGACCAGGTCCACCGTGTCTCCTTCAGGCTGGCTAGGATAACTCCTTGTGCCAAGAACAAAGGTCTGTTCGAGCTGGAAGGCGTTCCTGTCGAACTGGTGCTGCTGGAAGGGGACACCCTGGACCAGGCTCTCCACCAGCGTCTCTGAGAAGAGCCGCCAGCGGGGGGCGTAGTAGTCAGCCACCAGTCCCGCCAGCTGCTTGTTGGCGTAGTCCAGGATGTTGCCCTCTGGCCCCCACAGAGTCAGCTGGTAGCGGCTGTTCTGCTCATAGAAATGGGCCTCAGTCTCACTGACCGCCGCCAGTCGGGCCTGCTCCAGCCAGCTGCCCAGCAGGAAGTGACGGTCACTGGCCAGCACCTGGTCAAGGGCAGGCAGGAGTTCGTAGGCCAGGATGCCGCCTGCCCTCGTCAGGGGAACCAGCTCCTTCTTCAGATAGGCGGTTCTCACCTCTTCGTAGTACAAGCTGACCAGCTCCTGCACTGCCTGGCGGGTCACATCCACCAGGTCGTAGCGGAAGGTCGGGCTGCTGGCCAGGGTGGGGGTGGCTGCCAGCAGTAGCCGCCAGGCTTCGAACACATCTGATCGGTTGTACCAGACGGTGGTGACCATCTGTAGGGATGGTCGCCTGACCAGCGGGCTGTGATTGTGTCCCCGGCACTCCTCGCCCGAGCAGTTGTAGACACTCCGGAGCAGCAGCCGCCACGCTGCCTCTGCATCCCCATGGGAGACCCCGTACCGCCGCGCTGCAAAGCTGGTCACCCAGGCCCCCAAATCGGCCACTGGGTCCTTCCGCCAGCCCAGCTCGGCCATGAGGGCGTACACCACCTCGTTCTGGCTGATGCCCTCGGGGGCCATGCCCGTGCCTACCATGGTGGAGTTGGGGAAATGACGGGCGGCTGTGGGGCCTCGGTTCACAGACTCCAGGGCCCCGAACAGGCCGTGGTTGCCCCCGAAGTTATGCAGCATGCACCAGATGAAGGGCTGGCCCTGGAAGGAGGCGGTGCGGACGTACACGGGCTGGCTCTCAGCGAACAGGTCCAGAACGAGGAGGCGGCCACGGGGCACGGCCCCCAGCACAGCTGCCACCTGGGCGGGCCCCCAGAACTCAGGCTGGTGCTGGAAGAACCAGCCTTGGAGCAGCCACACGGCGTCAGGGTCCACTGTGGTGGGGCAGAGGACAGGAGGGTGATGAGAGGAGAGAGGGGGCAGGGAGCATTCACCCCACTTTACAGAAGAAACAGAGGTCCAGAGAAGTTAAATGACTCTATCATACTCTATCATTTCCCTGTAAATCATCCCCCCTACCCCCATCATCAGGATATTCCACATACCCTTCCCCCTGGGACTACCAGTTGAGTACTGCAAAGCTTCAGGGAGCATCAGAATTACCCACAGGCCTGGGCCCCAGCCCCCCTCATTCTGATTCAGGAGATGGGGGAGATTAAGAACCTTCAGTCAAACAGGCCCTGGGGTGACGCTGCTGGTCCCAGACCACACCTGGAGCACGGCTGCTCAAGGAAGCTTGAGCCAATTCACCCC